AAAAAAAAAAAAAAAAAGGCTTACTAACACTTTATAGGGTCCTTCTCCGAAACCGTCAACTCCCCTTCCCTTCTATCCTGTCATCAGAAAGTGAGCCATGCACACAGGTCTGCCTCAGTTAAAAATCCAAGTTTCAAAGCTTTTCTGGACAAAGTATTCCCTCCATTCAAGCAAGGGGAATGAAATATATATTTATAAATACTTTCCCCAGAGGAGAAGATAGATAAAGTTTCTTCTTTCCGTGTAGACTGGTCACACAGACCAGCAACACTTCTTGCTTTAAGCTCTTCAATAGTCTCTAGATTCTGAACAACTCTGGAACAAGCAGTTGCCTGGATCTATCTTTGTCATGACCCAATCAGAAGCGCTCACACAAAAACACTCTGTTCTCAGTATCATCAAATGCCAAAAACATGTTATTAGAAAATGCTAGATTCTGGTCTGCCAGCTTGCGCAACTCCTCTGCCTTTTCTCTTCCTTCAGTCTAGAAACAAGAAGGCTCTCACTCAGCTGTTAGGAGGAGGATGAGCCCTAGTTAAGGACCCGAGGCCCTCCTTGTTCTGGAGGGGAAAGGCAGAGAGCCAGGACCGTCCTTGAATGCCCTAGAACACAGGGAAGGGAAAGGAATGCCCTAAGGTCCTGGAAAGAACTTCCTCCAGCTCCTCCTCTAGAAACAATTCTGCATGATAAAGACTCTGCTGTCTCCGTCTGTCACCTCAGGGGCTGTGGAGCCCAATCAGGGGACAGCACTCCCGTGGAAACAGGCTGCTCCAAGCAGGGAAATAAAAATTCACTGGGGGAACTCCTGGGTGGCTCAGTTGGTTAAGCGTCTGACTCTTCATTTTGGCTCAGGTCTTGATCTCACTCATCTGAAGTGAAGCCTCACCTATTTCTTAAAATGGATTCATTAAATTTAGTTTGACAGCCACCTTCAGGCCCACTTGCTCATCGCAGGAGAAACTATCTTTGATTTCTCTCCTGCCTTTCCTCCAAGCCTGAGCCGGCCTACAATTTTACACTCACTAAAGCACAATCCCAATTAGAGACTTACATTTCACCTCTTTTGTAAAAGTCAAACTCAACAAAATAAAAAATAGAAAAAGAGGAGGAAGAAAACAGAAGAAACACGGGTTTTTGAAGTCTTATAGGCCAGGCTTTGAAGAGCTCTGCCACCAGTAACTATAAAACTAGGACAAGTTAGATTCCTCGTCTTTAGTTTCTCCACAAAGTTTTGGAGAGGAGTGAGATAATCCACAGTGCACAATGCATGGCACATAATTAGCACTGGAATGTTCGTTAGTAACAGCAGAGGCATCAGTAACACCTAAAGTACTCACTTCTATAATCAAAGTGAAATTTTTAAAACTTTATTTAGAAACTCTCTTCAGAATATAAGCTATAACAGAAAGACAAGGAAAATAATGGAAATAGGGATTGGGATTAAAGAGTACATTTAGCATGATAAAATAAAATAAAATGATTTGCAAAAAAAAAAAACCCACAAGAAAAATACCCTTCAATTTAGCACACAGTGAACCCTTTAGAACTGAAAGATCTCCCAAGTTTTAAATTAAATTATTTAAACTGAAAGAAGAGACAATCTCTGGTTAGAGTAGCTCTATGAATATGCCCAAACAAAATCAAGTTGATTTCTATATATAAAAAAAGCAAAGGGAAAATATTTATTTTGGGGGTGCCTGCTTGGCTCAGTTGGTGAAGCATCCAACTCTTGATCTCAGGGTTGTACATCTGAGCCCCACAGTGGATGCAGAGATTACTTAAAAATAAAACATTAAAAAAAAAAAAGAAGAAGAAGAAGAAGGAAGAAAATGTTTATTTGCAAGGTCTAATTAAAAAAGCTATGATACATCTTACAGAAGCTGCTAAGAAACCAGAATATTTTTATATTGGTTCTACCATTATCTTCATGTCCATAACCTCTGAGAAAAATAGCAAGAAGGAACAATTACAATTGTTGTTCCTACAGTTGAAGAAAGCCTGGAATGCCCATCGTTCCTTCATTCATTCACCTGTGAGATGCCTTTTTGTACATTAAAGCTAATCCAAGTGTTCATTCTTTTTTAAAGCCTTTCCTGGTTCTACTTACTTTCCCTCACCACACCACGACCTCTCCATCCACACTAGAGTGTGTTTCCTGAGGATAGGAATTATGTCTTATTCACCACCGTATTCATAAGGCTTTGTTGCCTAGTAACTGTAGAATAAATGAATGAGTAAATTCTGAGTAACTGATTATTTTAGAACCCTCTGACCCAATAATCCCCTTTCTGGGAAATTTATCTGGATATGGAGAGTAAGAGTCAAATCAACTAGCAAGAAAGGCTTGGGCCAGAAGAAAAACATTTCAGTTTTTCAGAATAATGAAACCAGAAAAGCCTAAAGCAAACCCTAATGTGTTGAACCTATGCCAAGATTACAGTACAATGCAAAACGGCACATTTGCAACTCAGGTAACTGTCATTATAGTCCATCTATCCCTCACCCGTACCTCTAGTTGAGTACCTTAAAATCATTGACCATGTGGACTAATGTGCAGGACCTGGGAATCTAGAACACTTCAAAGAAATACTTAAATAAAAACTGAATCCCAGGGACACAGTCTAAAAAGTCAATTCCCTTGGGTGACAGCTTCAGACAGTTACCTTTAAAATGACCTGATAAGAAATCCCCCAGCAACCTGCACCGCCTGCTTGGAGCTTCCAGCTGGGTTCAGTCTGAATCTGTCTCTCCCCATTTCTTCTCTTCTCAGTTGGGGACCAATTCCCCTCAAAGAACCAGTCTTTCCTAACCTAGCTCTCACATCCCAAACCTACTTTCAGTGTATACGCTATAGCTTAATCACATTCCTACCTATGCTTATTGGCCTAGCCAGAAGCCTGTTCTGACATCAGTGTAGCATTAACTGTAGCATTCATTATAATGAATGAAGAGAAGCCCTAGTCACTGAAAGTTAATGCTGTATGCATTGAACTCCTGTACCATCCAGAGAAAGATCTCTAAGGGCCAGAAAAGACCAGACTTTAAAGAGAATGGCAATATTTTCATGCGTATCTTTCTTTGATACTCACTTGGGAGGGCATAAGACTTCTTCGAGAAATTCTTCAATCTTATTTACATCCGTTTTGACTTCATTGTTGAAAGTTATAAATGGTGGGTGGGTCCCAGGAGCCAAGTTCTGCAGGTCTGCAGGCTTCCTGTTAAGCAAAACAGTCAAAATTGAATCATTTTTTATTCTGGGAAGGCAATAATACTTTAAATACTCAGAGTGTTTCTAAATGTTTATGTATATAAAATTGAAAATGAGTAGAAGAATTAGTAATTTGGGGGGACGCCAAGGTGGCTCTGTCAGTTAAGCATCTGACTCTTGATTTCAGCTCAGGTCATGATCTCAGGGTTGTGAGATCGAGCCCTACATCAGGCTCCATGCTGGGCATGGAGCCTACTTAAGATTCTCTTTCTCCCCTTTACCCTTCCCAGCTCGCACTTGCTCGCTCGCTCTCTCTCAAAAAAAGGAAAAGTCGCAGTATTTTTTCCACTAGTTTAACAGCTGCAATACTATTCTACTAAGAAGCAAACCTTCACAAAGCACAAAATTCATGATAAGAAAATCAGGAATCTCTGACTAACCAAAAGACAAAGGCCCCCATTCTTATTCTAAATTCAACTGAAGTGCTTATTAGAAATGGTGGTAGAATTGAGAGGAAACAGTTTCTAGTCTCAGCTCCAGCACCAACTCATTGTATGGATGAGTAAACCATAACTTCTCTAGGTCTTCCTTTTTTTCTTTTCTTGTAAAGTCAGGAAGAAGAGCAGCTCAATCCTACAGGCCTTTCTAAGTATGAGATTCCAAATTCAGCAGCTACCAGTTTTCCATTTTCCTAGAAGTTCACACTCAACAAGGAAAATGATCACCAGTCAAAATGACTTCAGTATATAAAACATGGCATAACCAAAGGTAAAACACAACAAAGAAGGGCAAAATATTATAGTGAATAAGAAGGGCTCAAATATGTCTTAGATTAAGAATTTTGTCAAGTTCATTAAAAAGCCATCAACAAGTCAAACAGATAGGCGCCAACATAAACTGATACACAATAGGTCAAATAAGTGAACACACAGAAAAATGTAAAAAAAAAAAATTAGCAAAGAAATTGAAGAGTAAACTATGATGACATCTCTCTTCTATTAATTAGGAAAAACTGAAAATACACAGAACACTGATAAAGATGGTGAAAATGTATACTTACAACTACTAATAGCATGGAATGTTGGCACCACTCTATTAAAAAGCAAAATGGCTCACTTAAGCCCACCAGTGAATCCTAGGATCAATAATAATGACAAGATAGCGAGTGTATCCTAATGATAAAATACAAAGCATACATCAACATCTATGAAGTATTCTTACCGAAGTTGAAACTGAATCTAGAATCAGGCCTCTTAAAGCAGTTGTCTCTCAAAGTACGATCCATGGGACCCTTTCACCAGGTGGTCCATGAGGTCAAAACCATTCTCATAATACTAAGACATCATTTAGTTTTTCCACCCTCATTCCCTCATGCCTGAATCGTAGGCTACTAGTTGTGTGGTATCACAAAGTGATGTATACACAAACAGACATGAGAATCTGTCTTCTATTAAGGCAGACATAAGAAATGTACCAAAATGTAAAACAATGCCACTCTTCTAACTAACTTTATTTTGGAAAATAAATGCTTGTGTATGCGCGTGCTCGCTCTCTCTCTCTCTCTCTCTGACAAATAAATAAATAAATAAATAAAATCTTTAAAAAAATATTTTTGGGATAACAAAATTACAATTTAACAAAATCATGATTGTTCTAACTAGTATATACGTTTTAAATTTCTCAGCTTTAATTTATAATAAAGTCGATAGATAAAATCCACATAACTGAAAGCTCTTTGAGGCCTTTAATAATTTAAGAGTACAAAGGAGTTCTGAGACCAAAAATTTCATTTAGGAAACTTGAGGAGATGCAGGACAAAGTTAAATGATACCACAAAGAAGCAATCAGCCAAATACAAAATTCAGGACACTCTACAGTTCAAAAGAATGGATTTCTACCAGTCAATGGCATGAAGGAAAAAAGCCACAAATGGTAGTTGGAAGGAAATGCTGCAGATTAAGAAAAATTTAAGAGACATAACAACCAGATATAATGAGTAGAATTTGTTTGGATCCTGATTTGAACAAACCAAGCAAAGAAAAAAAAGATATTTTGGAGCTAATTTGGGAGATCGGATCATACGCTGGGGACTAGACGTGATAATGACAGGGTGGTCGGGTAAGAAAACGTATGTGCTGCTTGGAGATGTACGGTGAAGTATGGAGGGGTGAAATGACAGAATTTCTGGGATTTGCTTTAAAACATATCAGGAGGGAGAAAAAGAAAAAGAAAAAAAGGGACAAAGCAAATGGGTAAAATCTCAATAACTGAGTTGAAGTTAGAGGGAAGTTTATTCTATTCTTGCATATGCTCAAAAGCTTTCATAATTAAAAAGATAAACTTCAAAAAACTGAAAACTTTAAAAAGGCACCAAAAAACTGCTTCAAAGAACTTTCCCCCCTACCTATTATTATGTCCCTTCCTTCCTTCCTTAACACAAATGCAGAGAATTTGAACAAAGGATATCTCTAAGTGTACCATGAAGGTGAAATACTTTGTCACTGAATAAGATTTTAAAAATAGAGTGTACCTCAAAATCTCTACTCATCCCAGCTTATCCATTTTCCTTGGTCTTACACATACTCCTTCACGGTCCCTTCCCCCTTTTTTCTCCCTCCACCCCATTAAGATTTGGAATGTGCTACATCTATGACTACATTCCAAAATTACAAAGGCTTATTAATGATCTGATCAGTCTAAATTTTCTAGCTCAGAACGCCCCCCATCCGAGCTCTGGAGCCCATCTCCCTCCCAAAGAAAATAAAACATAAAAATATAAAATATAAAACCAAAGAAAAATAAAACTTACCTTCTATCAACTTGTATAAGTACCTAAGCTCTGAAAAAGGACTTTTAAAAGTCAAAATCTGATTTGATATTCAATTCTGATTCCCTTCCTGAGCACGCTTTGGTCTGAGAAGGTAAAATTGAGCACAGAATGACAGGAATACAAGAAAACTGAGTAAGTCTTTCAGATCCACATTTATTTAAACGGTGACTTGTGCCATAAGACTCCTGGAATTCATGTAAGTACTCCACTCCAGATCAGAACTAGTCCATTTCTAGGTTTCATTTCTTTGGTTTGTTTGGTTAGTCCTTATTACTTCTCGCCCTGACCACCTGTTCTTTGATCACCAACAATTCCAAGAGGTCCCAGACCACGCCATCTTTGGTCTTCAGTCACCCTCACATTCCCACTCACAGCTCACAGATGTTCCCACTTTCACTTTATTTCTTCCTCAACTCACCAAGACCTTGTACATAACCAAGGATCCAGAAACCCTAACAGTTCAGGGTGTATAATTTATTTTCAAATCTTAACATTTTAAACTTTTTTTTAAAAGATTTTATTTATTTATTTGAGAGACGGAGATCACAAGTAGGCAGAGAAGCAGGCAGAGAGAGAGGAGGAAGCAGGCTCCCCGCCGAGCAGAGAGCCTGATGCGGAGCTCGATCCCAGGACCCTAGGATCATGACCTGAGCCGAAGGCAGAGGCTTTAACCCACTGAGCCACCCAGGTGCCCCTCAAATCTTAACATTTTAAAGCTAAAAAGGGGGGGGGTGGGGGCAACTGGGTGGTTCAGTTGGTTAAGCATCAATTGGTTTCAGCTCTGGTCATGACTCGGGGTCATGGGATGGAGCCTCCCATTGGGCTCCAAGCTCAGCAGGCTGTCTGCTGCAGATTCTCTCTCTCTTGCCCTCCCCCAACCACCGTCACTCTCTCTAATAAATAAATAAATCTTTTTTTTAAGATTTTTTTTTATTATATTTTATTATATGACAGAGATCACAAATAAGCAGAGAGGCAGGCACAGAGAGAGGAGGAAGCAGGCTCCCTGCCAAGCAGAGAGCCCGATGCGGGGCTCGATCCCAGGATCCTGGGATCATGACCTGAGCCAAAGGCAGAGGCTTTAACCCACTGAGCCACCCAGGTGCCCCTAAATAAGTACATCTTTAAAAATAAATAAATAAATAAATAAATAAGACTTTTCTCATTCCAAAGTTATAAAATATATTCATCAACATTTTTATGACTAACAGTCCCTTAATACCTAAATGTAAGGTAATAACATACATCTGTGTTTTACAAACAATTTTTTCATGAACAAGGTAGAGTTATTAAAGGGGGAGAGAGGATAGATGCTTTACAATAACCCATGGGGGGAGGGCAACAAAATAAGTAACAGCTATTCTATAATAAATTATGACAGCTTTTAGCTCTCCAAATAAAAATATTTATTAGGAGAGGGATAGAGTTGGCATGGTAGAGAAGAAAGAGCCAACGACTGAATAAAAAGGACCTGGCTGATTAAAGCCCCAAATTGGATACTTCTGCCATCCACCAGCTACGTGACAAAGGAAATCACAACCTCTTTGGATTTCCTGCTCTGTACCGCGATGTAAGACCTGCTTTGCCTGTGAAGATCAAATAAAATAAGAGCATGAGCTAAACCAAAGCATGCAAATGAGATGCATGCCTGCTTTCAGGCTCACTTTAACATAGCATTATGCAGGAGATGAGTCTTGGCAGTTTTTAAACTCTACTTGAGTCTGATGGTTCAAAACTGGTTATCTAGCATTAACTGAATGGCAATAAGAAACTGGATTAAGAGAGGCTTATAAGTTAGGTGTCTGTGTGGCTCAGTCGGTTAAGCATCTGCCTTCGGCTCAGATCATGATCCTGGAGCCCCAGGATCAAGCCCCACATAGGGCTCTCTGCTCAGTGGAGAGTCTGCTTCTCCCTCTGACCGTCCACTCTCTCTCTCTCTAAATAAAGAAATCTCAAAAAAAAAAAAAAAAAAGTCTCATAAAGTAAAATGAAATTAAGCAAAGGACTACCAATTTTCTACTAATATCAGGGACTAGTGAATAGTCCACTTTGTTTCTGCTGAAAAGCTGTATCGATTTTTAAAAAACAAAGGTGGTGAAACTATTCTCTAGGATTAAGTGTTGAGATGAAGAGAAACCATGTTGGGTTCTTACTCCAAGTCAAAGTAGGTCCCAAAA